GGGGGGGGGAGGGTACAAAATGATATTAAGGGGATTGTGAGGTCTCTCACGACAAAATACATTCATTCATACACTCTTCTGCCTGACCTATCCTCAGCTATCGGCCACGGTGGTCGACTGATGTCCGTCACAAGTACACTGAACCTTGCCACCATTAACCCAGGCCCCATGAGGGGCACCGTAGTCGGGGACGGAGTTTTGGAGCCTCTGGGGCCGCACGGACGATTCAATTCTATGCATTTCGGCATCGGTAGTTCTTTGTCGAGTGGGTGGTCTGGCGTCCGGGAACGTCTGTCAAGGCATTCAAACCTAGAAGCTACGCCTGGACACGATTGTGTGGTCTACAGGGGGCGGAACAACAACATGGGAGAAGAGGACGAACTCGGGGAAAGTGTGGCGAGAAGCGAGACACTTCTGTTTGGTAGGTCTGTGCAGCAGAAAGAGGATCGTAGACGCAACGCAGAGCGGGGCGACTGTTTGCCCGGGGACGAACGTCAGAACAGTTTGACGAGAAACGAGAACAGTTTGAATAATGCAAATGAAATGGATTGTTGTGTACCGATCACACAGCGAAACGATCGCCTCGAACCGGACGGTTGTGTTCTGGAGGAGCGGCTGCTCAGGGATAGCGAAGAGAATAAGGCTGTGTCGGATCAAAGATATAGCACGCATGCTGAGACGCGCTGTGAGACGCATGTTGCTGCTTCCATTTCTACAATAAACGACGGTTTAGATAAATATAAGCAAGCGTGCATTGGCGAGTGTAAAGAGATTAACGTGCCCCAACAAGAGTTTGTTGTTGCAGGATCCGGGAACGCGCCAACTTCGTTGACATTAGATTCTTCTTTTTACAAAAAAATCACGTATGGTAGCATAAATACTAAACAAGGACCGTACGTTCATTTAGATACAAACTGTTCGATGAATCGTGGCACTCCCTTTAAGCAAAATACAGACAATAGAACGGCAGATCCGGACAGCGGTGCTGGTCCAACGCCGTCAAGTTATTTGTTAAATCCGCTGTATAATATAAACATATCAGGATCATTCTTCAAGTTACCATCGGGGAGCCAAAGGGGGCCAGACGAGCAGAAAGAACCAAACCCCAAATCACAGGAATCGGCCAACTTGAGTCCGTCTTCGGTCAGCTTTAAAATCATTGAGCAGAGAACGCTGACAGGGGCGGAGGAGGAGGCGAAGAACTACTCCGAGTCGTACCAAGATAAAACTGGTCCGGGGGGCAGGGCCCGACTCTTGTCGTTCGCCGAGGCGTTGTCAGAACTGGGTAATCAGACACCGGGCGAGGGGAAGAACAGCACACTGGACAAGGTGCGCGGGGGGCAGTCTGTGCTGGCCGTCGTCCTTCTCGCCTCCTTGACCTTCTTCATCCTACAGACGCCGTTCGTCGTGTGGAGTCTGTGGGGCTTTCAGGTGTTCCCAGATTCGAACCGTGGACATGCCTGGAGGATTTTGAGCTACAGCGTGGCTACGATGCTGCTCAACACTACTCACGCGGTCAACTGTCTCGTGTACTGTGTGCTGGGCGTCAGGTTTAGGCAGGAACTCATAAAGGTGGTCAACCAGTCCGCCAGTGTCAAGTCCCGTCGAAACACACATCATGAGTACATGTAGTGAGGCCGAACTACTGTCACGGGCATATATATTGTCATAATACATGTAATATATTTACATGTTATCATATTATAATATATGATATATGTATGT